CTCTGACTGTCCTGACCTACCCTTGGGATAAGGAGCACAACCATGCAGGTGCTGCTGAATGGCTTTGCTGCCTGGAGAAAGCTGTGATAGGCAAATGAATAAGAGGGGACAGCATTTATGCATGTTGGAGAGGGGAAACCTGATCAGTGAGGGCATTTCCTACACACCAGAGTTGGGATATGAGGCAGTAGCATCCTCTCTGGGCTCCCAATGGGGTGGAGCGGGCTGAGTACCAGCTGCTTGCTTCATTTGCTAATGGGATCTGGCTTGGTGGTGAAGGGGAAGGGCACTGCATCATCTGCTTCTGATCAAACAAATAGACCTCCTTTGTATTTTGCTTTCAGGCCAGATGGACTCATGTATCAGATGTTCCGCAGTCAATTTTTAGCATTTTCAATATTTCAGAGTGAGTATCTCTTCCCTTGCTAATTCATGGGCTAAAAGAGCTTTGTGTCTTATGTGCTTAGAAGAAAACACTTCTGTTTGGTAAATACTGGAGTATTAAACTGGGAGAATATAAAGATAACAAATATGCAGTGTGCAAAGATAAACAATAGTTTAAATGCTCTTGGATTAAACATTATTAAAATTATTTGATACCTTTATTATGCTTCTCAACAGCCAATGCAGTGATGTTTTCTCTCTCCTTCTCGAGGTTGTGTTCAGTTCTTACAGTATTATTACCAAAGGGGCTGCCTTTATCGTCTCCGTGCTTTGGGGGAGAGAAACCACTTGGACCTCACAGTAGGTGAGGTTTTCTGCAGTACTTTCTTTGTGATGATTTGCACGGGTTTTGGATGCAGTGATAGGGAGAGGGGCTGTGTGGCCTCCTGAGAGAGCTGCCACCCCCCTGCCCTGCCAAGTGTCTTAAGGCAGGAAGGGGAGTGAGGCTTTTATCCCCCTCATTGGGTCCTGTGGGTTGGGAGCAGAAGGCTCTGATCTCTGTCAGGTCTTCAGAGGGTTAAGATGGAGGTTTTTGTTGCAGAATCACAGATTAGTTTGAGTTGGAAAGGAGCTTAAAGCTCATCCAGATCCAACCCCTTGCAATGGGCAGGGACACCTTCCACTAGAGCAGGTTGCTCCAAGCCCTGTCCAACCTGGCCTTGGCTGCTGCCAGGGATGGGGCAGCCACAGCTTTATCCTCTTCCCATTACCACACCTTTATACATCTTAAATTGCTAGGTTATTGCAGAGCAGGACAGGAATAGCTCTTATGGGGTGGTCTGGGTGGGAGGGCTGCAGCTCCAGTCATGGCTGTTACATGTTCACTCTCTGCCCTTTCTGTCAACCTTTTCCAGAAGGATTTCAGTCCTGGATGTGGCGGGGGCTGACCTTTCTCCTTCCCTTCCTGTTCTTTGGACATGTAAGTTGGGCACTCCCGTTTCTTGCTTTGTAATGCAGGACCTGGGTAGCTGCAGCACCATAAAAAGGTGCTTTGGATCATGTGCACCCTTAATAAATGTTTCTAATGGTTTGGTTGATTTGGTTTTCCTAGTAGTGAAATTGCTTTTCTTTCTTTCTCTCCCTTGTAGTTCTGGCAGCTCTATAATGCAATCACACTTTTTGGATTGTCGAGGCATAAGGAGTGCAAAGAATGGCAGGTGCGTGTTGGTTCTGCTCAGAAATAGCACAGAGCAAGGGGAGAGGGGGTGTATCACCACATCCTGAAGGATATTTGGGCATCTGACTCCATCGAAACATCTCAGGATGATGTGGCACAGAGCCTACACAAGGGAACTCAAATGTGAGTTACTGTAGGGAAGCTTGCCACCCATGGGTGACTGCACAGACTGAAAGGCAGAGTGTGTAGGGGAGAAAACATATGTGGGTAAATACCATGTTGTTGATGTATATGGGGGTTTAGTAGCAATGGCTGCTGAGTTGCTGGTGGTTCTTTATAGCTGAACCATGGGTCATATATACAGAAATACAATGACAAAAAAATGATGGCAATGAATCACTTAAAAACATACTGTCCCCATCACTGCCCTGTTTTTAGGGATCCTTCCACTTGTTTTCAGTTGCTGTCACCTATCAAACATGTCTTTCCAGCTGTACTATTGCTCCTGTAAATCCAGATTGGACTGCATCACATGTGCAGTGCTGCACATAATCTGATGGTCTTTACTTTGTTTGGATCTTGCAGTAACTTGTGTGCTCACCTTGATCGGAGGAACACACCTTCCCACAGAAACATATTGTTCCCCACGCCTGTGTCTCTGCTGTTCCATGGACATAATGTTAATCCATTACATTTAACTTAATGATTTGGTTTTACTGTCTGGTCGAGTCTGGCAGTGTTAAATATAATCCATCTTACAATATTGAAAGTAGTAAATGCTACTTAAATGATCATACTGTTAACCCACACAGCTGGATGTGTGGATATATATTGGACTATGATCTTTTCTCCTTGGATCTCCATGCTAATTGATGCCTGGACTTGCCAACCAAAGCCCCATCAGAACTCATTTAATGTGGCCAAAGCAGTACCCTCAGCTCTCACCTTGGTTGTTTCTTCCCCCCCCCCTCCCCTTCTCTCCCAGGTTTCTGTGTTGGCTTTCACGTTTCTGCTGCTCTTCCTCGGGAACTTCCTCACTACCCTCAAAGTCGTGCACACTAAACTCCAGAAGAACAAAGACAAAATGAAGAAGCTGTGACCTCCCCCCCTCCCTGGGTGCTGGCTGCCATCCTGCTGCCCGTGGCAGGCGCTGGGTTTGGGATGGGTCCTGATAAACCCCAGCTACACAATGGACAGGCTCGGAAGGAGTCATCATCCCCGTGCTTGGTGAAGGATGTGGACTGCCAGCACAGACTCAGTATTACCACAAGCATGGCTCTCCAGTCTGCAGTCCTGCTATTTATGTCTATTTAATACAAACCATGTTTGCTTTTGGGGTTTTATTTCTGTATATAGAGCAGCATGCACCTGCCCAGCAAAGTGCCAGCATTGGGAGAATGTGGAATCTACTGTAATTCCAGTTCTGGAATGCTATTTAACACTTTTTTTTTCCTGATTTATTATTTAAATTCTGGGTACTGGATTTGCAAAGGCTTATGAATACTCCAGGTTGGTCAGTAACACAGACCAAATGCTGTTTTTAAAGGCATTTGTTGAAGGTGTGTTCTCAGTGGCAATACCAACCTGTGTGTACTGTGAAAAAGAAGCCCATCTTTGTACCATATTGCTGCTATATATACACTTTTCAGAAGCTATTTAAAGAAGAGAAATCCTCTTTTGGAAACAAAACCAAGCAAGCAAAAGCAGTTTTTAAATGGCAGGGAAGTCTGCTAGCCTTCTTCCAGGGAGACCAGGTCAGCTGGCCAGGCCTGGAACAGACCTAATAAACCATTCAATATACAGCTGCTTCAGCCCCTTTTTAATAACACACTTTGCCCTTTGGGTTGGTTTTTCAGACACTGTTCTGGAAAGGTGGGGGACAGGCTCAGCAGAAATACTAAATACTGCCTTTAGATGCTGCACTTGTACCAGTAATTAAGAGAATGTAAAGACTCGTTCAGGAGGATGGCGTTAAGTACTGCCAGTACATTATGTACTGGCATCCTGCTGAGCTCCTTGTGCTGCTTGAACTTACTCATCCAAATCAGCTCGTTTTGGGTGCTGCAACATCTGTACCTCCTAAGGCCAGCTCAGTATTGTGAGCTGCTTTAGGCAGTGTTCTTCCCAACTGTAAACCCTGCCTTTGAGCTAGCACAAAGGCCGTACCGGGCACACGCTTTGGCAGAATGTGATCCCAGAGTGATGTCCTCCCAGCAAGTGTGCTCCTGAAGAAACACATCCACACCACAGGCTTGAACTGGTTTCAACAGTTCTCTTGCTGCAAGGCAGCAAAATGACAATGTCGCTGTCCTGTGGGCATGAACAATATTGAAATGAGATAATGAAAGGCAGTTTACATACTTTGAACAACTGTCACGCTAGTTGGGCTGTATCTTGCTATGTTACCTTCTGACTTCTGCATACCCCGTGAGTCTGGGGTTTGTTTCATCCTTTGAACTCTCCATTTATGAACTGTAAATTGTTTTATTTTGAGAGTGATGCTGGAACCTGCTGGATCGGAGCAGTGGACCTGCAGGGATGGGCAGCTCTGCTCGTGGTGAGTAACGAGTTCTGCAGCACGAGAAACTCGGATTAAAAGAGCAAGAAAGCTTCTCTCCATGGAGCTGAGGGTAAACACGTTCACTTCCTGCACGTTCATGTTTCAGTTTCAGCTGGGTAAGGTGAGGAGTGGTTCTTTGTCTTTTACTGACAGATCTCTTCTAGTGGCTGTAATGTACAACTCTTCATTATTTTTGTATAATCAAAGATGTCTGCAAACTTCTTAGTTTTTAATTTTCCATTTTAGGCTAATAGGGATTCATTAATTCAATGAATTAATTGATTAAAAAGAAGCTGGAGAAGGAGAGGGGACAAAAAAGAAAGAGTAAGATTTCAAGGATCAAGATCTCTTTATCCTGTATTTAAAACACTAATGATGCTTCGCTCCAAACCAGTTTTTCACCAGCTGGTCTTGTACCCAGCAGAGGATAAAGCTGCATGAGCTCTGATAGACAGTTACCAGGCTCTATGTGTAATGTTTAATAATAGACTCCTGGCATGCACCACTTACAACCTTTTGCCAAAAGCTTTATCACCTTTCCATGAATCCTATGCATTTTCCCTTAGGATGGGATGTAGTTGACCTTATCTTTCAGCAACACCTGTACTGCAGAAACCTCCTTCCCCCTCGCAGGTTTGGTTTATGGTGGTTATAAAACAGTGATTGCTCCTGAAATTATGAGCTCTCACTGCATGGGATGTGCAAAAGAACCAGGAGGTCTGAGGTACATACACGAGGTTGTGCAGTGGGACCATCCCTCCTCCTTAAACACCAACTTCATCACAAAAGGGAAAAGTTTAATTTACAGCAGGAGAGATTTCACCAGGTAACAAACATGAGTTAAGTATTTCTCATAGAATGCACCAGTATTTTCATCTGTGATGTATTAAATAAGCTATGCAAGTTTACTGTAAAACTAACTTTACATTATAAAATAGCTGCTTAGACCAATTCTAACTGTAAATTATTTTCCACGATATTCCATTTCTGAACTGGAGCAACCAGTGCATCTCCACTGGTAAATGCCACTTTCCATTGCAGCAGCAGGTCTTGTAAGGAGACCTCTCAGGGTGCAGCTCTGTAAAGCTGGCCCAGCAGCACAGGTGAGTAGTGGATGCTCCATCAAAAAGTTAAGACAGAACTTCATCTCTTTATCATCAGAGCTGCTCTAGCATCACTTCTAAAAGATGTGGCTTTTCTCCTTGGAAAAGACAGTAAATTGTAGCTAAAACATGGCACAATTATTTTGCAGAGTTAAAACCACCCCCCTGATTAACTCACACACTAGCAGTTGCTTTTCATTGCAATTGAAATAGCGAGTCCAAGACCTGACTAGTGGTTGGCTGCAGTCAGGAGCAAAAGCCAGGTGGACAAAGGCACACTGCATCAGTTAAACTGGATGAAGAGCTTTGAAAAGCTGGTGAGAGCAGTGCCACAAAAGTGCAAAAATAGTAAAAATAATTAAAATTGAATATAAAAATTGTTCTAGAAACATAAACGTGTGATTAAAACCCCAGCCTTTAACGTCGGACTGTTTCTAAACCTGAATGGCTCGGCTGTGGTGCAGTCAGTGCTCTCCTACTGTCCGGATCATAACACCGAGCACACTCGCTGGTTCTTTTGCCTCTTGGCTTTTTTCAGGGTGTTCAGTGCAATGGTGGTGGCTTCTTTAAAAACGTTTTCGATGTTTTCCCGACACTTGGCTGAGCACTCCAGGTAAATTTCTGCGTGAATCTGCTGACAGGCGGCTTCCCCCTGCAGAGCACAAAAGGTAAGAGAAGATGTAAAGCCAATGTATGAGAGAAGGGATATGAGGTGGGAATGAAAGGGGGTTATTTTGTACATCATACCATGAGCTCGGGAAGAAAGAAGCTGCCTCTAAGTATAATATTAAGAGTGTAAGTGGCATTGGTAATAAACTGAGGCACTGTTAAATGAACCATTTTTCCCCCCCCTGTGTTGATCCAGAGCCTGGCCTAAGTTCAGTGCATTAGAGACTAAGATACAGACTGCTGATAGTGTAAAAACATTCTCAGTGTTAAATCTGTTTAAAAGAAATGCTGAGGTAGATACTCGTGAGGATAAGATGTCTGCACAGCAATGTTTCTTCAGGCCTGACCTTAACTGTTATGTGATGTCACCTTTAGTAATGAGTGTCACATGCAAGAGCTGAATGTAGACCAATGTCTTGCCTTCTTTGCTGGTGCAATTGCAAGAACCCCAGCTTTGGCTTTGGAGCATCACAAGAGCTCAGCCAAAATCCTCATATATGTAAATGGGTGTCTTTATAGCATTTCTCAACCTCACCCCAGTGCATGCAATGGGAACAGGCCAGAATCTGAAACACTTGCATGCAATCCTGGAGTGTGAAATCAGCACAGATGTAAGACAATGGCTTCTTACTTTGCTTGTGATCCTTTTGTCATTGCAGTCAGCCCCCACTTCTGAATGCTTATGAGCCTTAGAGTGGGAATTTCAGGTCTGCAACCCACAGCTCACAAACTCTGTATTTATTCATTATAAGCCCTGGGAGTGGGGTCACTTGAGCACTCAGGGTTCCATAGGGGAGTTTTTCTTCATCGTATTTAAGTGAAGTTTGTTTCCTTCCAGTGGTTCACAAGCTGCAGTGCTGGCAGATACTGTTCAGCTCCTCTGGGCCTGGCACTGGAAGCATCCCTTTGCATGACTCAAGATGCCACCAGCTGTAAAAGACTGAGGTAGTGTATATTTAAGGGGAGAAAAACCAAGTGGGAGGGTTCACATAGGAGATAAGTTTGTACATCTTGTGGGCCCTGGGATTTGATCGCATGAGGCCCCAGAAGACTTGCCTAAAGTGTCTGTTGCTTGTCCTCAGCCTCACACGTGAGGGTGATGTGAGTTAATAACGCAAATGAGGGAGCAGCTGTTCACAAAGCAACAAGATGGGCATCTCATCTTGAGTGCAAGGAAGACAAGCTGAATGTCCCCATGTACTTTAGTGGTGATGCAATTGCAGTTTCTTTTCATGCTGCTTAGAAAAAGCAGCGATTCAATCAAGGTCTCGTTGCAGTTAACCTTGTTCCCTGGACTTGCGTCTCGAGCAGTTTGGAAGCTGCTGCTCTTTGAGATGAGATGAGAGGAGAAGATAGCTTTGTTGTTTAAACAAGGTAGGAGATGAGCTGAAAGGGCCCATGTGACATGGAACAAGCTGTTCCATCACTGTTTCTCCTGTACTTAGGACAGCCATGTCAGTGATGTAACAGTGCTTCAGAATACTTAAATTGAAAACATTTGATAATATGTAGGTATTTTTAGGATCACTTTAAAGAAAAGCCTCTTACATTAGAGAAGCCTTGCAGATGTTGTTGCTATTGTCCTTGAAAGGATTTATTTTTAAATAGGGTTTGCAAAACTTTTTTTCCAGAAGTGTTTTTAATTCTGTAGCCTGTATCCTGGCATCTCCATTCTTTATCACAATCCTGATCAAAGTACGAATCATAGGAGCAATGTATGCTCATAAAAATCATGAAGGGAGTCCAACAAACTCATCAAGGCTTAAAAATCTGTAGCAGTAATAACCCAGCTGTGAAAGGAAACAAGGAGATGTAAAGAGCATAGAAGGAGTAGCCAGTAGTGTCCTTTCAGACACCCCAACATATGCAAAACACTCTTCAACTTCTCTTAACTTTGGTACTAAAAATGAGTGGTGATTTGGCCACTTCCAGAAACAACTTCCAGAAACCCCTCTTAGTGCTGTCAGTAATTCCTTTATCTGGATGCTGTGAGCATCTAATTCTGGAATACCTGTGACTCTACTTGTGAGGAACGATGCTATTGAAGTGTAACTGTGCTTCATCTCTTGCAAAGAGAACACCATTTTAAGCGCACTTGTACTGACCTGGTTGTAAGTAATGGGTTCCTGCTTGGAAGCCCTGAGCTTGCGCAGCAGTTCCTTGTCTTTGCGAAGGTCTGTCTTGCAGCCGATCAGCACGAGCGGGACACCGCGGCAGAAGTGATTCACTTCAGGGTACCACTGATGGTAGAAAGACAAAGACTTTACAGCTGTCTTCTTTCTTGCTTCAAATGAAAATAATAAAGCCAAGGGACATTTATTGTATGTTGCAATCTCAGTGTTTTGGAAGCTGTTCAGGTAGTGGCAGGGACCCAACACATGCTATTTACATTCTACAAACATGTAAAAGTCCTACCCAAAGTCAGTTGCTTTCTAAAATATAGGTGGCATCTTTTATTATACCAAAGTGCTTATTTAACATCTGTTTAAGTTCAGAAGAGCTCCTATTAGTCATATTTAAGAGCAGAATTTGGGCCAAGTCTTGCTTTGTTTTGCTGGTGTCATGTACAGGGGCACTAATTTCTACTTTGGGGAATTACAGAAATCCCAGTACAGACAAGGGGTTGCTTACATCTCTGTGCTGTAGCTAAGCGTGCATGGGATGGAATCTAAACTGCTTGTGTGCAGTGCTGGTTGTGTGGCATCAATACAGATGGAACGGATAAAGCTGTGATTTCACCACTGGTGTACTTGTTGGTGTACTGCAGAATCCCAGTTCTGAGCTCCAGGTGTGAGCTCTGTGACCCTGCAGCTCAGTGTGTGGCGAGTGCATCCACATGCCCAGGGTCCAGGACACTAAAAGCACTGGCTGTTTTAATCTAACATCTTGTCCTGTATCAGGCCTATGCAATTAATTTAAAAGGTTGAAGCAATTACAAAAGCCTCTTGCCTTGGCTGCCACGTTATCGTAGCTAGTGGGGTTCATCACATCGTAGCAAATCAACACAACGTTGGTGTTCTGGTAGGAAAGGGGTCGGAGCCGATCGTAGTCCTCCTGCCCTGGAACACAGAGAATGTTTTGGATAGAAAAAAATCTCTGTCCTTAACGAGCCATATGATGGGAATAGGTAAAGATACATACTTGAGATCAAGAATAATGAGACTGTAATTGCAGAGACTGCAGGTTTTCCATTCTTGTAAAACACCTTCCCTCAGCACAGGGTTGGACTAGCTGATCTCCAGAGGCCCCTTCCAACCCTATCGATTCTGTGACATGCAGGAGATTCCCCTTCACTGACAAAAGCGATGCCTTAGGAAATAAAGCATGTCCTTGGCAAGTTAGAATAAAAAGCCTGCTAAGTACTTCAAAGCAGTTCCAACCGCCGAGTGCCAAGTGGCTGCTCACAAGCAGGATCAGTAAGAGGAATTTGACAGTTATCGATTAAAACATTTGCAATTTGGCAGTGACTTTGTCCTCCCTAATATATCATTTGCACACATGATGCTGTGAGGAGAAGAAACACCATGTTTGCTAGACACAAATGCTGAAGTAAAACCCTTAGTGGCAAACTTACTTTTCCCAGCCCAGTGAGCTGAGAGGAAGCAGCACTACTGCTCAACATGCTGCAACAGGAGCCAGGCTTAACTGGTCTGTGAAGCCAGGACTACACAGCAGAGCTTAGGGATGCTCTGAATTCTGGAAAAGGAGAGGATTTGTCTGATTAGGGCTATTCTAGCACATGATCTGATGAGGAAGCTAATTTGCTTCAGACCCATACTCTTCCCCTCGCTGTACAGATGACTTAGCAGTAATCACCACACTGAGATCTGAAGGTATCTTGCTCTGAGAGATTAAGAAAGAAATAATTGCCAGATAAAGCTGCCAGCTCATGAAAAAATCCACAGTCTTTTACACGTGGATTTTCTTCAGAGACTTCAGGAAGACACCGTGACTTAAGCAGTCTGTAGATCTATTTGCCATCTGAATGCTACCCTTGTAATCAGGTATGTCTCTGTGATGCACCAGAACTCCAAAACAAGAACTGGGATTGCTATTCCCTCCCTCAATCACCACAGTGAACACACAGCCTAGAAACTGCCCTACAGGGAAGTTACACATCTCAAATCTTTGTATTGGCATTTCAAATGAAGGGATGCTGAAAATTCCAGCGTGCCCCCAACTTTATATGAATTATTCCTTGCCCAGTCACATACCCATTACTCTGGCCAACGTGCTTGTCTCCAGCTGCAAACTGAAGGATTGCAGATATCGCAAAGCCAATAATTCTACACTATTTTGATCCCCTCCTTCATTTAAATGATGGATTGAGGTACTGGTTATTACAAGGCAATCCCTACTGACCAAGCCATTACTCAGTTTGCCTGAGGTGTTTGTAAACCAGAAATCTTAGGTTTGGACTACTTCACATTTGAGCTTCTGCAAGAGCAATGTGTTCTGTAGGCAAGGTGCAGAACAAAGAAGGATTGATCCCTCAAGGTTTAATCCAGAAATAATAGACAATTGACAATATTATCCATGTTGTAGAAACATTCAGAGCAAAGACTGTACTGTTCAGCCCTTCTTATTCTCTTCAATCCACCTACTTGTTTGCAGCTGATTTACCATTTTGTTGCTGATAATCCTTTAAATGCATTAAATGCATCGGGTGCCACAGACTTCCTCTAGTGCTATGTGTTCTGTATGATTTTCCCTGTTCAAGTTCATGCCCCTCAGCTTCTACCAATGTACCTTTTAAAATCACAAGGACCTCCAAGTTATTGCTCGCCATTTGTGAGACAGACAGCACTGTCCCCTTGGAAGAAACATGTTTGCTTGGAATCAGAACATACAGCTATGTTAATACTCTGGCCAGGATTAACAGAAGAGGTGTTTTCAGTGATGTGACACAAATATGCTGTATTGCAAGCCAAAAACTAACTATGCCTCAGTGAACTGCACCTTCATGTTCAAACCAGCTGTGCAATTATCTTCTTTTTAAGCAAACTGAGGAGATACACGCATCAGGAAATGCTGGTGTGTAAAATGCACCTCCATGTACATTCGGAATTTCAAGTACAGAGCACAGAACAAGGTAGAGTGCAGAGACCACAGGGGGAAGGTTAGGTGGTAATTGCTTAACTTGTATTATGGATAGATGATTGTGGTGCCCACTTGGAAGGAGAGGAAGCTATTTAAGAGCTCAGATGCAGTTCCTCAGCTGCTGAGGATGTAACAGGACCCAGATCAAGCTGTGTCTAAACATCGACATCCCTCTCACTGAAAACAATCCCTTTCACCCCCTGCCCTTAAGTGCTGCTGATGAAATGCAAGAAAGGGCCCGGGAGACTTTTTCTCTGTAAAGCTGCTCAGTCTGTGGTCAGAGCTAATTTGGCACAGATTTAGGTCTTCTGCTGGAAGAGTTTGACAATGAAGGAACAGGGCTGAATCTAAGCAGTAACTGACTGTGTGTGCAAAGCCCCCAAGTGTGCTCCCTCAAGCACAGGTAGCTGCTTTCTTTCCCCAATTAACAAAAAGCATGCTGTGGAAGAACTGGTTAAATGTATCCCTCTGTGTGAGCATAGCTGTGACTCTCCTTTGCTTTCCTCAATTCATTGTAGCATCAGAGACCATGTTTGGTGTTTTCTTTTAAAGAGAAAACCCCATCCAGCTGAATTAATCTACAATTGGTTAATTCTTTGCAGAGATCACACTCCTGCATGGCTCTGTGCATGCTGCACAACCCACATAATGCAGTCAGGCCCTGTGGTGGGGTGGGGGCTCAGGAGGTGGTTGAAGTTGAATGGGAGAAGAAGTGAAACCACAAGTCTCCATCTCGTGCATCTCATGTTCGCCTCTGTCTGCTCTTCCTCACCCCTTCAGCAATTTAGTACCAAAGAAGTGCTAGGCTGTGTGTTGCTCAATCCATAAGGGAGCTCAGCACCCCGACAGGAGAGGGTAAATGGTGAAGTCAAGACTTGCAAGCCTAGGAACCTACCAGTACATGCAAGAGTGCTGCGCGTTGCCACCAATTGCCGGGGGTAAGGAAGAATGTAATATCCTGCCACCCTGTCCCGTACACCTGACCACTTCCTATGCATGGCCATGTGTTGTCTGTAACACTCCACACTCATGGTTTAGGACTGACATGAAACTGTGCAATGTTGAGCCCTCAGAGGCACACAGAAATGCACCCAGTTCTCTTTGGATTGTTAATTCTGCAGGCTCCATGGGAATACCATGGTTATAAGCTTGCCAGCTATGTATTTTTCACTACTCAGTTCAAAAAAGAAATGGGAAACAGTCATTTTTGGCAAGAATAAAACCAGAGGAGTGTATTTTGGGTGTGGAGCGAACACTTCAGTTAAGAAGTTGGGGCTGTATTCTTCAGGTACACTCTCAAAGTTAAGGAAAGTTATTCTTGCATATACTGGCTTCTAGAATGTCTTGTAAGGCCCCAGAGTGCTGTGCATGTGTCATTACAGACCTGAAAAACCCCACTGGAGTGTGCTTCCTGGCAGTCAGAGTCAGCACCCACAATGATGAGGCATTGCTTCCTCCCCAGCTGAGCTCTTTTCTTTGGTCTGAGTAAGTCCTGTGCTGAACACCATCAGAAATTGAACCTTGTGACTGAACTGCAGCTAAAGCATCTCCCTTAGTAGTTAATTTGCCTTTCAATGCCTTTGCTTCTATTGAGCACAGCAAGAAATGGAAACTTTTAACTGAATAAGCAGCTGCAAAGCCTGGTTGCAGATGAGACAAGTGATGTTACAAAGCCTTTATGCGTTGCATATGTATGCCACCAACTTCCTGCAATAGCAAGAGGTGTCTGATGCGGAAGACAGAGCAGCATAGTACAAAAGTCTCACCAAAAATGTTATTCCAGTATATTTTAGACTAACTTATTAACTTCATTTGTTGGTACTCTAGTGTATTTTAGACTAACCTATTAACTGCACCTGTCCTTTACTTTCTTCTGATGCTGAAGTGCATGCAACTCTCTGGTGTTGCTCCTAGCAAGATCCTAAAAATATCAAAGTCCTTTCTGCAGTGGGTGCTTCATGAAGATGTAGTGACTTTATAGAACAGCGTTGCCCTCTCTGCACTGCTACATGGCACTTTGCTGAAGCCCTTCCCCTCAGAAAGGATTTTACATCCTTTTGATCCGATTTCAGTGATTTTATAGTTGAATGATTTGGAACCCTTCAGACTGAGAAGCAAAACACAAGCATGTTTTAAAGAGCAAGACCAACTCAAACAGCTCCGTAAGTCCAAAGATGATTCACAAAATACGGGTGATATGCTGCACTGTTAAACCACGGTACTTCCTGTAGTAAGTTGTATGTTTAGACTCCTCTTTAAGCTACATTTTGTGCTTTGCACCCACCCCAGAGCATCATCCCCCAGCTGAAAGAGGAATTGAATGAGCTGTTGGTGCATGATACGACAGAAGCAAGACAACGTCGTGGAACACCGACTCCAAAACTGTATCTCCCATGCTGCATCCATGGGGCAGAGGGATAGGAGCTCTTGTTTCCTGAACTGGACGCTCTCCTTGCTCTTCTCTTACTGCACTATTTGAGCTTTGAGGACAGGACACAACTCTTGGTCCTAGTCTAAGCCGTAAGGAACTCAGCATCAGTTTTGTGTTATTAAAAATAGGATGGGATTAAAATGTGTGCTTAAGTGAGTTCTTCCTCTAGTCTGACAGCTTCAGAAAGAGGATGAAAAGCTGCTTGAATTACAGAGTATGGCAGGCCTGTAACATAAAGCTACGTCACTTCATTTGCCTTTCAATGCCTTTGCCTTTATCGAGCACAGCAAGAAATGGAAACTCTTAACTTTGAAACAGAAACAAAATCCAAGTCTTTCCTCCTCCCAAGCAAATGCCTCAACTAAGGTGGCGATGTCCCCCCTTTCTTTGCACCTGATAATCTTGATGTGTCTCATGCAAAGCAAAAGGGAACTTGACAGGAAGGGAGGAGGCAAGTGTCAGCAGCCTCTAGCAACTTGTCACCTGGTGGCAATGACACCCTTTTGGGTGGTGAAACATGTTGGTTTCAGGGTTTCCAGATGAGGGATGGAAAGCAGTTAGGCAGGGCTAAACTCTGCCTGACGCAAGGAGCTGGGCTCTTACGTCAGGCTTGCGAGAGGTCAGTGCTGCAACACTGAACCTGCCCGACCTACCGCCACTTCTGGATCCAGCCCATGTTCCTTGGAGCCTGGAAGAGACTCCAAAGGCAAATGTCAGAAGCGGAAGCACGGTGATTTTAAATGAGAGGCGGCCAAGTGTCAAGTACTGCGTGACAGGGAAGAATTCCACACTGACAGAGAGCAAACACAAGAACTCAGCAACGTCACTGTGGTAAGTCCTTTGTGCCAACATGCTGTATTAAGGAAATCCCTCTCTGGTTGCTCACAGTAGATTTCAGCCCTTCTCTTTTCCAACACAAAAGCCTTGCCATTCAGTAGAAACTACATTATCAAAAACACTGGACACGAGAACAGCAACATTCACACAAGAAGATGCACTGGCAAAATGGGTGCTTAGGATCTTACTCTACCACAGTAAAGATCAGCAATAAAATTCATTTTCAGATTCGAAACTATTCAGATATGTACAACACACAAGAAGGTAAGTGTGCTTTACTACTGTTAGAAATGAACACGGACTGCACTCAGTTTGTGTTTGTCTTGGTGTAAATCTGTAACAACTCCACAGCCTTGAACTGAAACCGATGACTTACACTCCACTGAAAGGGAGCACATGTCAGTTTTAGGGTTCATTTAGGAGGGCAGCTGGATAGGAACTTTGAATGAAGTTGAACACAAACCGTTTCACAACTTTCTGACATGAACCCAACTGAATTTACCACCAGTTTCAAGTGACTTTTACTGCTGCGGCCTTTTGAACACAAACCAGCCTTTTTCCTCCTTCCCCATCTGATCACATGTGGCAGAAGATTAAAATACTTTCCTAGTTGATTGTATTATGCTTTGCAGCTGGGAGCTGGGGTTTAATGCCTTCAGATATGGTTGTTATTTTTCTTAATAAACAGGGTTGTTACGTTAATGAATGTGTCCCTGGCTAGAGCTGCCTTTAGACAAGCAACCCCTTTTTTTCTGGGAGGCACACTTCTGCATGCAGCAGGTAACGGTTGTTGTTTGGTTTGTACTTTACTCTCCAGCAGGTTTAACTGTGGTATTATGCTAAAAGTACGCCTGTAGAAAAGCAAGTTGAAAACACGGTCAGCTTTACAGCCTTCGCCTTCCAGCCTGGTTTAAGCGGACACCACAAAAGCTGCTGGCACACAAACAGGGACGCGATCACAGGAGCAACACTTTACACCGGTAAAAGCAGGTTCTGCTTATTTAGCTGAAGGGCTCGGTTTGGGCTCAGGCCCAGGCCAATGCCGCAGCACTGCCCCTTCCCAGAAACTGCCTCCTCATCCTGCTGGGATGGGGGAAATGGGAAGCGCGATGTGAAACCGCCTCACCTGCGGTGTCGTACAGCTTTAGGGTGACCTCCTTCTTGCCCACCGTAACGCTGGTAGTGTACTTCTCGAAGACGGACGGCGCGTATTGCTGCAAAGGGAGGAGAAGCCGCTCTACTCAGGGACAAGCACTCGCCTCGGCCGGTCCCCAGCCCCTCGCCCCGCGTCCATCCCGGGCCCGGCGGCGGGGCTGCCCGCTCACCTCAGGGAAGGCGCCCTTGGCGTACACCATCAGCAGCGAAGTCTTCCCGCAGCCGCCGTCCCCCACGATCACCACCTTCACCTCCTTCCTGCCCGACGGGGCGGCCGCGCTGCCGCGGGAGCCCCCCGCCGAGCCCGCGGGCCCGGCCCCGTTGGCCGCCTCCATGGAGCGGAGCGGGGCCGGGTACGCGGCTTCCCCTCCGCCTCCTCCTCCTCCTCCTCCTCCTCCTCAGCGCCCTGGGGCGGGCAGGCACCGCCCGCGCCCCGCTGGGGATTGGTCCTGCCCCGGGCGCCGGCCCCTCAGGGCCCCGCCGCCGCCTCAGCCCGCACAACCCCGGGGCCTGAAGGCCTGAGAGCTCCCTGCGGGCCCTGGCGCGGAGGCGGGGCAGCCCCGGTGGGCACCACAGGAGCCCTCAGCGCCCTTCAGAGCCTCGGGGGCTGCGCGCCCCATTCTCCTGCGGAGCCTCTGAGGTCTCCACACACCGTGGCCGCTGGGCCACGTCTTCTCCGCGCTGCCCACCGCCCGCCATGTTGCGCACTCTTGGGTGCTCGTCCCCGGATAGCAACTGTGGCACCAAGTCTCTAGCCTCATTTATTCCTCCATGGAGCCCTTCTGGACCTCAAGCACCATGTTGTTTTACACCAGGGAACGTCTTCGGTCCAGCCTCAGCCTCTGCAGCGGTAGATCCCAGTCCTGATGCTGAGGGGTGCAGTGCCAGCTATGGTGGGAGCAGGCAGAGACTCCCTGAGGTACCCCCTGAAACCCATCTTGTTGCTGGCACTGGAGGTGACCTGCTGCTTGTTTTCTACAGCCTTTATTGCTCCAGTGGGAACCAACAGCTCTGCTCAATGCTCATTCACCCACACCAAGGTGAGCAGAGATGAAAACAAACGAGCATTTTGATTTTAATTGCAAACGTGGTGGCCCCAGGCACCGGCCTGGTGTTCTGCACCACGGGAGGCCGGGGACCACAGCAGCCGGGTACAGTTTGCTCTGATACAGAGGTCAGGGAGTGATGCTGTGTTTGTGCCAGTGCACAAAACAGGGTGTTTCTGGCCTAGCAGGGTTTACCGGTGGTTCCGTCCCAAATACCCCCCCAGCTCTTAAGAAATCCAAACTGGCACTTAAACGTTTTCAAACGCCGCTTGTGGGAATAGCAAGAAACCCCCAAAGGAACGCTTTGAGTGGAGCAAGGTCACTGAATGCAGCTGAGGGGAAAGAGATGCCGGCTCCAGCAGGTTTGCGTTGCCTGCTGCACGGTTGTGTCACTAGATGGCCTTCCAGAGCCAGCGCAAACGCTGCCGCACGCCGCATCTCTTCCAAGGCAAGGCTGCTTTGTGCAGAGGGCAAACAAAAAGGGTATTTCCACGATAGGAAGTTGGAGGGACGTGGAAATAACCAACGAATAACACAGATAACATCAGTAAAAGGCAGTCAGGTTCACACCTATTCAAGTAACCCTTTTACTAAGGAAAACGTTGAATCAACCATATAGAATACACAAGCTGTCAAAAAGATGCTTTATGAACCAGAATCTCGTATCTGTTATCTAGAACACAGCAAAAGCCGCCAGCTGCTGTCGACTGCAATGGCTGAGGGCATTCAGAAACAGCCAGGAAAGGATTCTTTTACCCTGAAACAACTTATTTGGAGCTGGCTCAAACCCAGCATCACGCTGTGTATGATGTGATCAGCAGATAGGTGTCATCCTGTAGCTGAGTGCTGTGATTCAGGTGGTTTCTTTCAAGTCAATTATTGCCATAAGAGTGTTGGGAGGGGGGAGTGTTGGGTTAAAAGTATTTTGTGGTCGTCGTTAGGTTGGTGGTGTTGCTTTTTGGGGTTTGATTTTCTTTTGCAAGTCTCACAAAACAATATTTACATCTCTCAGAGTTTTGTCTCCTTTTACATTTTATAGTTCAGGAAACCTTTCAGATTCGTACACCTTCAGGTTTGGGACAAAACAATTAAAAATGAGTAGATTGTAAAATCAAGGCAAAACGCTCCAGAGTGTTTTAAAGTAATGGCTGGTTTATTTGTGGTGAGTCAACTTAGTAGTGAAGAAACACAGCACTTCAGTGTCTCAGTTACTTAATTAATGGGTATGCAGAGCTTCCGGCATACAAAGTCCCATGCAAGAGCTAAGTGTATGTTGCTGACTGTGGAAAAGTAAAACCTGATCTGGAATTCTGCCACTGATTTAAATGGAGGAAGATTCAACCCTCAATTAGTAAAATTCAAATCTAATCATTATTAATTACAAGTGTCCTTCTACTACTTCTGTTTTGGCCTCTGTATTGATTTTGGCACAAGTTGTTTCACTGAAAGCTTACACATCTGCAGGGCAAGACTCAATGTGCACACAGAGATTTCCAGTGAGCATTACCAAAGTCAAGACTTTAATGGAGTATGGTAAATATCTGTGTTCCCATCCTGTTACCAATTGGTTGCTTCTCTACTGCCAAGGAAAATAATAGGAAGGAGTGAAGGGTTAGGAAAACTGCTGGAAGTGTATGCTTTTTAAAAGATGCTTTGACACTCTAGATGGTATTGATGGGTAATTCAGGTTAGTATGAAGACACCCAGAAAAGTCTCACAGATGGACATGGAACTGTTGGAACAAGTCCAGAGAAGGGCCATGAGGATGATCAGGGGACTGGAGCACCTCCTGTATGAAGACAGGCTGAGGAAGTTGGGGCTGTTCAGCCTGGAGAAGAGAAGGCTGCGTGGAGACCTCATAGCAGCCTTCCAGTATCTGAAGGGGGGCTATAGGGATGCTGGGGAGGGACTCTTCATTAGGGACTGTAGTGACAGGACAAGGGGTAACGGGTTAAAACTTAAACAGGGGAAGTTCTTACTGTAAGGGTGGTGAGGCACTGAAATAGGTTGCCCAGGGAAGCTGTGAATGCTCCATCCCTGGTGGTGTTCAAGGCCAGGTTGGACAGAGCCTTGGGTGCCATGGTTTAGTGTGAGGTGTTCCTGCCCATGGCAGTGGGGTTGGAACTGGATGATCTTAAGGTCCTTTCCAACCCTAACCATTCTATGATTCTATTAGGTTTAATATTGGAACTCTGACTTCTTTACAATATAGGGTGATGAAATAAGTTGATGCTCCCATTTCTCAAAAACACAAAGAGTAGATGTTACCAGATTTGACAGAATATTCTGGGTAGCTCTCTTCTGTCTGGAGGAACTGAGTACTGTCGAAGTTTTATGTTTCCAGTCACTTAAGCTCTACCATAGTGCATGCCCTTAGGTGAAGAAGCATGGCTTGCAGTAATATTTCTGACAGAAAATACAACAATTTTAGCTAGCCAGCAAGGTCTCAGACTACTGATACGGATACAATTGTGTAGCCACAATTGCAACTGAGGAGTAACAGCACACGCCATCTGCTGTATACTCATATTATTAGTTTATATAGTAATATAAGCTAGACAAGAATGGGGACCTGTTCTTCCTAAATGTCTTGAGGACTATGCTTTTTAAATACTCTTCAGAATTTTCTTGTGATAATACAGACCCTGCTTTACAAAGACTTAACAATAGTTTAGCCCCATTTATATAAAAGGAAATATTCAGAAACTTAGTTAAAAACATGCATAACAAGACAGAGCCTTAAATATTTATTTTTAACATTACCACTGATATTGTGTTTCCAGCCATGAATTCCCACTGCAGCATGTACATACAGAGCAAGAGATGACGCCCTGAAGAGTTCACAATAGGAAAGACAGATCCTAAAGAATGGGACTTATCAAGTAAGTAGTGATTTTCTGATAAAATTAAGATGTTACACAAGGGCAACAATTGTTTGTGATGTGCACAGACCCCACTGAAGAACAGCCTCTGCCCCACAGCATTTAGCATGAACAGGGAGCGCAGATAGAGAAGGGGAAGCTGTCATGTAGGACAGCTGAACTGACCTTGCACACACATAGAAGTTGTGGGTGACGGTGTAAGAGGAGAAGCCTATGATAAACTCAAAGGTATATTTTCAAGGTAATTCAGTTTGTTTACAGAACAATTGTACAAAATTGTCCTTTCAGCTGTGTTTTGCTCACAGTGCCAATGCTCCTTTGGCCTTCCCTCAGCACTAGAAATAGCTTTTGTCCAAAATCAAAGCTCCTGGTCTCCTTGACTTTCAGCTGCTTCTCAGTATCCATTGCTGCAGCGTTTCTTGCTGTTCCTCTTGCACATGCAGAGCTCTACCATCTGGTCCTCATGGCCTGGTATTTTACACACACGCCCCCACCCTGAAAAATCCCCTGGGCCACATGATTCACCATCTATTCAAACCTTGCCATGTGCCTGCTTTTTGTGTAGTAGCCCTGACTGATGTAAATCCCTTGTTTCATAAGGGCTCTCTCAATTGCCTTTTTCACTGAAGGCAAGGTGGCTGTGACACCTGCCAGTTTCTGAGACGTTTAACCCAATCTAAAACATGATGACATTGTTGTTTGGCAGGGTAGGAACCATATTTTTTACTCCCAGTGGGAAGTGCTGCCAGAAAAATATTAACTTTCTAGACTATTAAGTCATGTGGAAAAAACTGTATTTCAAGGAGAAAATTTCCTTTCTGCCTTTTCATGCCTTAGGAACATAGTTCCTGTTTCACTTGGCTCAGGTGGCCCATGCACTAAAAAAGTGCAAAAATCTTTCAATAAACTCTACATAAAACCTGTCCCAGTGCTAACATTGGGTTCAGAAGGCTATGAAAGAAACCAGGACAACGGTGTGCAGCAAAGGTGTTAGCCAAATTAGACACACAACTCTGCAAAATCAGGCACTTTGATGCAGTTTGGGCAGATTTGTTCATAAACCACACACCGACTACCAAGAGAGCAGCTATTTACAGGGAGCACATACTGTTTCTTGGGTTATTTTCTCTGTATGCTTTACATCAGGGTGCCAACTGTGTGGGCCAAACGTGGCCAACTTGGTACATGTGTGGCCAGCATGCTGTATTTTGAACCTCACCTTTCATTAGAAACAACTCAGTTTCTAATGAAACAACAGTTGTGGAGAGAAAAATAACCCCTTTACAAACGTGAAGAGTGTGTTAATCAATGTGGTAGCTCTCAGCCTGATACAGCAGGGGCTTAGGGGCAGTTTCAAGTTGCTGTTCGTCACTGAAGTGTAAATTCACAAGCCAAATTCTGTTGTAAAAAATAGGTAGCACAAGGTTAAGATAA